CTATGTGCAGTTATGTCTGTGTATAGAACCGAAACTTTCAACTACACTAATCTGTCATTTTACTTGTATTTATAATTTTGTTAAATATTTTTTTATTCATCCAGTTGTGGTAACTATGTAACACTTACTTTCTAACTATTACGTATTAATTCAAACATACCTTTTACAAATATAATAGCAGTATTTGTATTTGTTCCGACGAATAAAAGCAGGGTTCAGAAAGAGAATGACTGGGTCCCTGTATAAATGATTGTCTTCCTGTTTATGATTCTTGACTTTGCAAGAAATCATCTGTTGTTTTGTTCTAAGACTGTACTCTTTCAATGGTTTTTAATGTACATATCAATGAAATACTAACAATAGCTGCCTCAGTGAATAGCATAAATTTTCATGCTGAAAGAATCAGTCTCATGCATTTTAACCATAGGATAGAACACAATGGTTATGAGTTTGCTCTCTTTTAACCTGGACATCAGTGGATGTCTATGAATTGGTTTTACTTATTTCAGGATGTTTTTAAAGTTGGTTCAAACTGGTTTAATCAAATGAAGACTTCCCTTAGAATGTGTCCAGATGTAAAGATCCCTGGTTCCCCACATCTGCAAACTGCTCAAAGGGATCTTAAAAGTCATGACAATGAGCTGGGGGGTGGTTTTTTTGTAGGAATTGGAGACACTGAAAAATTCATGATTAAAAATGCAATAGAAAAAGGAGGGTTACATTTCAGCCTACTGATGATATTTTAGGAGGTATTTCTTACAAGAAAGTTTGTGTAATTTAAAATTTATACACAAAACTATAAAATACATAAAGCCATTTTTTCCTAATTTAATCACAAACTCTTGGATGTCCTAAATCATATTCTTCATGTTTTCTCTGGAGTGTGAACCAATAAAAGGTCATTAACATAGTAAGGTCCTGGAATAGAATTTACTATTCACTAAATATACACTAATTCACCAAATATTTAATGAGCACATGTTGTATATGTGCTTCTATGTTAGTGTTTTTTATCAATTTGGTGTTGGTGGAAGCAAGAAGCTGTGGACTCGCCTCTCCCTTTCTGTCCCTCTGTGCTCTGCTCTGTGATGCTGTGTTTTTTGTTGTCCAGCTGGATCCCACAGGCTCAGCTGAAATACATGCTGGGTTTACAGGCTACTTCCAGGATTAAGCTATTATGAACCCATCAATAGGTGATTGGATAAAGAAAATGTGTTTTCTATACATGATGGAATACTACTCAGCTATACATAAGGACAAATTTGAAAGAAATTGGATGCACCAGAAAATGTTAAGTGAACTAAATCAGACACATAAGCTTAAATACCATATAATATCTCTCATTTAAGTAACGCAAAATACAAAGACCATAATACAGGATGGATATAAGCAGACAAGGGGATGGATCTTTTGCAAATGGGGAGGGGTCCAGGAAAATGAGAGAGAAGGGAAGGGAAAATAAGTAGAATAAAGATATGTCACAGTCAGGAACCTAATAACCTCAATGAATGTAAATATTTTATGTCATAAACAAGATAGAATCAATGATATCAACAAGAACAAAGTGGAGAAAGGGGATTTGGAGGAGGGAGGGAAGGAGAAGAGGATTACAAAAAGAAACAAACTGTGTTATGTACATTTACCCACTCCCCAAGATGAGTGTAAACTGCATGTACTGCAAGCATATACTGTACAAAAAGGAAAACAACAACAGCAGCATACTATAGAAAGACTGGACGCCCAGTGGAAGAAGTAGGAACTGATTTCTTTTCTTTGCTGCCTTATTCTCACTATGGTTGCTCCTCATGGAAACAACAACATTGTGTTTTACCAGCAACATTAGATAGAATTTATGGGTTCAACAAATCCACTAAAGATGATATTGTCCTCTCAGTGAGATTGACGCCTGCTCTATGGGATTCCTCAGATTCCAGGCTCCCGGATCCTTGTTTCTAATGATCAGTGAAGGCTGAGCAGCACCCTTTGTCAAAGCCTGTCTAAAATACTAAATGACAGTCATTCCACCCCCTACCCTATCCCCTATCACTTGACTGCTGCTTCCGACAATTTCTATTTCTCTACTATGACAGTGTTTGTTTCTTTTTTCTCACATTCTAGACAACTACAATTTTGTTTATTGGTTTGCGGTAAAACGTATACAACACAATATTCATGACTTAATTTCAATTGTATAATTTTATTTATTTTTGTTTTTTGAGACAGGGTAGTTCAGGTTCGACTTAAACTCACTATGTAATCCACTCTGGACTCCAACCTGTGGTGATCCTCCTGCCTCAGCCTCTTGAGTACTGGGATGACAGGGATGCATCACCATGCCTGGCTCAAGTGTGACATTTAATGTCTTGTGTACATTCATGTTGTGAAGACATAACCAGAATGTTTTCCTTCAAAACTGGGGCTTGCTTTGCCTTAAAGCATTGTCTCTACTTTTCCTTTCCTCTGATTAGTGGTAACTACTATTTCATTTTCCGTCCCTATGAATTTGATTATTGTAGGAATCATGTAATAATGATCCATTTGTCAGTCTTATTTCACTGTGCATAATGTCTTCAAGTCCATCTTTTCTGTGCCATTTCTGCTAATTATTTTATTTTATTATTATTATTATTTTTGGTACTGGGAATCGAACTTGGGTCCTTTGCCTTCAAGGTAGGCGGCAGAACCACTGAGCTAAATCCCCAGCCCTTTTCTAATTATTTTAAATTTATTCTGTGAACATAACGGGTGCAGTTTCTGTCTTCTGACTTAACCTTGATAGTGCAGTGACTCCTATAGCTCCCGATTTGCTAGGTGAGAAATGTGTAGCCTTCAATTCTCAATTAAAAGTTAATAAGATAATTTCAACTAACAAATCCATCCATAAGGGTTAATTATATGAACCATTAGTCATACATTATTTCTGAGAGGAATTCGATTTATGTAACCCACAGAACTGAGAACCACTTTCATTCTTACTAGAAAGGGGAAAAGGGTTAGTATTTTCCATACTTTGGATCTTAGGTTTGATTTATTTAACTTTGTTTAACACAGAATATTAACTAATTCTAAAATTTTTCATTTTGGTTTGGATTAAGATGCTTCTTCTAGGATAAATGGACAAGGGTTAATATAGTAAGAAATATAACATTAGATGAGCTAGGAAGTTGGTTTTCTTATTTGCAGCTCTGATTTGTCTTTTGAGTAGGAAACTCAGCTGAACTTAACATTTTCTTGTCTATTTTCTATTCTAATGTTTTGCATTCTATGACAACTCCCTAAGAGTTATTTATTAAAAAATTCTTTTTTTTTTTTTGAGAACACATTTATAAAGAGATTTAGGGACAAAAAGTAGAAACAGATTCGTTAAAGTCTCATACTCACATAGACGCTTCAGAGCTCAAGTGTGCAGTTTCGGGTTAAGAAAACCTATGAGTCATTCTATCCCTGGGGAACCCATTTAATCATATTCTATACTGTGGTTAAAATGTGTGCTTCTGCTTTAGCCACTGTCTGCTAAGCTTATTCTCTTGTTCCCACAGGGGAGTCTGGCTTATCAGAGATAAATTAACCCAAATGGAAAATAAGCTCCGTAAGATGAACTCTGATAGTTCCCTATTTCCCTGATGTAAGTGGCTTCATCATCCCAAGCAAGAGTTCGGTACTCATTGCAGGCCTTTGTGTGATCATCCGGGGACACGGAGAACTTACCTGAGATGCTGCTAATTATCTTCTTTCCTACTTCTTCTCACCCCACCTTAAAATATTTTCCTTTAGAAATTATATTTTCATACTGCTGATAATGATGATTAAACAATTTAAAAATTATCATTGCGCTGTAGTTAGCCAGATTAATTTACAAAGGCAATTTACAAAGTTAAGAATATCAAAGCATTTGATTCTTCCCTTACCCTCCATCCTTACTCGCCATGTTGAACTGATTTTATTGACTACAACCTTAAGAAGTATCTGGGCTTTCAGCCAAAATGTGATGCTACTTGAAAGCTGATGAAAATTTCAACAATATATTTGAAAGAAATATTCATTACTTTATCTTCTAGTGAAGTCATTATTTGCTGACTAAATTTATTTAGCAACAGAGGAAAAATGATTTTAAAAATTCAAAAATGCAAGACTTACTCTTTCTCACCTGGCATTAAAATTCATGTTTAATACATGATTAATATTTGTTTTGTATATAAATTGTCCGGGATTTTTTTAATTAGTCAAAGTAACAAAGTAAAAAACATTTAAGTACTTATTTGCTTTTCAAAGTCAGAACTGAAGAATAGTGCATACAGTATGTATTAATGTTATCATCCATTAAAGGGCTTTGAAGGTAATTGTATGATATATTTTAAAATGTAATGTATGAAAATATTCTATTGATGGAAATGTCAGCCTCAGTTTTTAAATCTTAAATTTCACCAATCATTATAGTGTTCAATAGTGAAGCTCTAAAGGAAATAAAAATTGTATGTTTTATTATTGCATTCTTTTCTGAGTGCAGTATATTGATTACTTGTAGCTATGGAGCCTTCCTCTATTAAACATCTGTTGTTTTAACAGAACACTAATGTATTTAGGTCATCAATTGGTCCAAATTCTAAAGATCACCATTACCAGTCTAAGTCAGGTATATGAAATATATTCCCCCTTTTTTTTTTGGCACCAGGGCTTGAACTTGGGACCTTGTGCTTGCAAGTCAGGTGGCAGAATCACTGAGCTAAATCCCCAGCCCCCAAATATATTCACTTTTATCAGAGAAAGTTTTGGCTAGCCACCCTGAGCTGGGGACTGCCATGTGGTTAGCAAAGAGTCAAAGAAAGGGGATACATATTGAGGTTCCAAGAAACTCTCATTAAGAAAACCTACAACACCAAAAACATTGGCCTCTGTCTCTTTAAATTTAGTATACTAATGATAACAGATTATATCTTGGGTTATGGTTGACAAATTGCAACTGCTATAAAAAGCAAGTGGGACACTCTGAGTTGGAAAGAGCAGAAGGCTTGGAACAGCTGGGGTTCGGCTGACATACGAAAGCCCTTGACTGCTTGTCTTTCCACCTCTTGAGTAAACAGTAAGTGCTGTCATATATTAAGCTGTGATTTGCAAGGTTTCCTATTGTAGATAAAAGTATTCTTGACTTTAAATTAATTTTCTATTAAAATTGATAGTGGAGAAAAACACATCTTTATATTTAACATCACCCAAACTATTCTATAGTCCAGAAAATATTGAATTTAAGTCCTCCTAGTAAATACATGTATGTGGGTCTTGGTTGATAAAGGTAAAATTTGTAAGGTTCGAAATCTACATTTTCTCAGAAAAATATGTGATCTGGTTTTCATGCTGCATTTCAAATATTTAAATAAACTCTAGTAACCTATGAAATATTGGGAGGAATGACTCTTTAAACAGTTTAAGTGATACCATTTGAAGATCTTTGGCATTGTATAGGAACTTTTATATTTATATTTCAGTATAAATAAAAAATAAGAATAAGCAAACAATTGTATCAAAGCTAGAATAAAGTAGTATGTTGTGATCCTTAGGGACATAGATGATTATCTATTAGTTATTAGATTTGGATGGGAGAAAGAACACATTTATTAATACATTAAAGTTAGTCTTCATAGAATTCTTTTTGTTTTGTTTTGTTTTTCGTACCGGGGATCGAACTCGGGTACTTGCGCTTGCGAGGCAGGCGGCAGAACCACTGAGCTAAATCCCTGGCCCACCATAGAATTCTTTAGGCATTATGCTGTTCGATTTCCACATGAATAAATTACATTCAATACAGAATTATTAATCTTGGTTTAATACAAAGATCTATCTTCCTGGGATGTTCCACATTAAAAGTATTTAGGCCCTGTAGGCCAATAAACTCTCTGTTCCAACTATTTGTGTCCTTGCAGGAGAGTGAAGATGGCCATAAAGAGTCACCAATGAACAGATGTGACAGTTTTCCCATAAAAATTTATTTACAAATACAACCAGCTCTGTGAGTTTGACCTGCAGATTCTAGATATACTTCTCCACAGTCTGAAATCCCTCAAACGTTTACAAAATTAAAGGAGACAAACTTTCTTACAAAACAACCTGTAGCTTCAGGGAGAGTTGAAATAATAAAATTGTAGGAAATGTTATGTTTTGGGACATCTCCCACCCCAAGATTACAGGGTTTACAAATTAAACTCTTTCGGTAGTTCTTCTGCAGGAGAAAATATCCTCAAGGAAACAGAAAACTCCAATCTCATAAAAAATTTAAGGTTTTTGTTTTGATCTATTTTTTCTTCGTATTTTGCACTTGTAAGAAAAAATTCACTAGTTTTTATTTAAAAGTAGAATTTTTAAAAACTCCCCTGTTTTATGATTGTACAAATATTTTCCCAATAAAACCATTTTATTTCTCATGAAGTTTCTAAGGGCTCACAAATTAAGAGGAGATTACTCGTGTGGTTCTCTAGCAGGCAGGATGGATTTATCACTTGATAGCGTGTCTCGGACCCACTATATTTTTACTTTGGGACACATGAAAAATTTCTAATTTTGTTTAAAAATCAAAAGATAAACTAAAGTTTTATGTATTGCAAATGTTTTAATATGCAATAGTAACATATTCATTTTTATAGCCATATATAAACTTATGTATGGCCAATATACTATTTAAAACAATCATGCAGCTTAGTAAAACAAATGTAATACTTTTGTGCAGTAATCTCTCACTCTTTCCTTTTCTGTCTCATTCAGAAGACTGAATTTCAGTATAAAAATTACTTGTAAGTAATCTAATTATCTGAGATTTTTAAAATTTCATATTGCTGAATTTAAGTAGAATTGCATTATGCACTAATGAAAAGCAATTGCTGCTTATTGAACATATATCAACTGGTAAAGTTTTCATAAAACCCTATCTACTGGGAATATGTATGCTACATTTTATATATGCCAAACATCCTAATTGGAATAAAATATTGTGTTTCTATTTTTATTTGTCTTTGCATATTATTGTATCTCATGGAATATAGAACAAAACTAGCACAATAAACGAAATTTAAACTAGATGAGACACTACTATGATAACTTTTTCTTTTTTAAATGAAAGTCTGTGAAATTAAAATGTGATCTAATATCATCAACTAGTATATAGCAGGTCTGCAGCCCTTTTCCTTGCTGTGACTTTCCTATTGATCTGCCAGATTTATATTTCTGCCTCCAGAGACTGCACATAGGAAAATGTACTCCTGTCTCCTTTCATGAAAAAATGAACACAAGTTGTATGCTTCTGTGGGAAACTAGAGCAAGCATCTTGGGTTTTCTTTCTGCTTTTTCCTCTTCTTTCCTAGAATTGCAGACTTCTTTGTTACTAAGCTCAGGCACTAAGAGTCTTCTCTTTTTGTAGCTAATAGAAAGTGTGTGTATCCCTTAGCTGCTCCAAGGGGAGAAGATAAACACAGACACGATAAAAAAAAATATTTCCTGTTAGAACTGAAAGGTGCTGACTCAGGTTTGCATCTGCATTACAATAGCCACAGTTTCTTGAGATGCAGTTGTTAATACACACCAGAAATAATTCTTTCCAGCATGAGCCTCCAGGAATAAATTAGAGGGGCAAACAGTTGATAATGAGCATTGTCCAAGCAGTTCTTTCTCCTCATATCTTAAAAGCTTGCCTGCTTTTGATAGATGAGACACAACCACTTAGTGTTAAAGTCATTTAGGTGGAAAAATTAACCTATACCACAAATATATTTAAAATATATTTTTGTCACTTGCCTCTACATTTGCATTTTCTTCCAATTAAGTGCCATTCTGGTTGCATCATATTTAATGGTTTCCTGTCCACAAGATTTTTGCATCCTATTTATCATTTTCCCACACTTACGCTTCTGTATTTATAACTTAATTGATTTATCAATCATTTAACAATTGAGCATTCATGAAATATGGATAAGGTGTCAATGTGAGCTGTTAACTATAGGAAATAAAGATAGAATTGAGCTTATAGTTAACCTGTTGTCCAGCTCATGCTCCCTGTGTAAGGGATGCAGTGCTCGAAGAAATGATCAGGGATTGACTGGCTAAAATATTCTTTTGAACAATGAGCTATGTTGATAACAAAGGTGGCACACAATTTTGGGGCAGGGATCTCACACTCTTCTCTCCTCTGCCCCAGTTACATGTACATTGAAATCACTAAAGAACAAAAAGAATCTGCCTGTACATAAAATATAAGAAAATACAGATAAGTACACTTCACAGGCCAGAAGCTGTTTTTGTTTCGTTTTGGTGTTTTTCTCCTTCCTGGTCCAATGCAGAGAGCCAGAGCCGGGACTGATTAGGGGCAATGTATCAGCACACAGTTCTGCTTACTGAGAAAACAAAAGGGGAGCTACTGGCCGGAGCCAGCTAACACCCTCTAATTGCAGGAGCAAGAGCAAGCCATGGGACAGATGGAGAGCAAAGTACTTGGATCAATTTTTATACTGCACATCAACAGCTTTGTGAAGCAGCTGCGCTGGGATAGCCAGGGTTTTTTTTCATTGCCTAAACCAAGCAAAAAAATGGTACTTTTTGTGGTTCCTCCTTCATGAGGCCCCAGACAACAATGGGAAGATTAAGAAAAGCTCTACCTTATATACATAACAGAGGCAGGAGAAACAACATATTGTGCTGAGATTAAAATTTTGGAAATATGACTTCAAGTAATCAGAGAAGCCAAGCAGTGGAAGTGCCCATTTTGGAATTGGCAGCTCTTTTTCTAGTCTCCTCAGGGCTGCTGGATCACTGAATCTAAAATGTTTGCTCTAATCAACCAGCCCTCGGCATGATATCTCTGTTGCAGAATATATGGCAGGTTAGCTTGAGGAGTTTGTATTTCATCTATGTTCTTTCTTCCTTTTCCACCTCCATATTTATGTCAATTGAGTACTTGAAAGTCAAGACATTTAGATCATAGGATTTTTAATAGATGCTTTGAAAAAGCAGGGAGCAACATCAAAGTTTGGAGCCCATATCATTTCTGATCCCAGGCCCAGAGAAGTGACGGTCATGGGTCCAGGTGGTCTCTAGCTGGATTGGAGTCATTTCCATCTCAGGCAGTACTGAGGGATCTCATCAGATCTGGTGGATCTGCTGGGCTCCTCCTCTTTATTATCCAGTTAAAAGAAGAAAATTAAGATGAGGCACCAAGAAAAGCAAAATTCCATTCGCAGGAGAAATGTTAAATACTGTCAAATTTGTCCTTGCAACATTTAAGCTTATCTTTGTCCTTTATATATTTAAATAATAGGTTATTATATTAAAAATATTGAATTCTCTAAGTTTGAATTTTACTCTCTTAATTCAGCCTTCAAGAGATATAACATAAAAGCTACACTTTTGAAATCACACTAATATGGCTCAGTACCTATGTACTAGTGGCCTATTAGGAAAATCCATCTGTAATTACTATGTTTTGTTCACCCAATGTGTGTTGCATGAGAATTAAAGAATATTAAGTAATGCTTCTGGACCATTTTGGTTCTTCTTATGAACCAAACTTAGACCTAAATTTTTGCCAACAGTGGGAGTGAGGGAGTCCATGCTCGAGGTTGACTGACAGCAACACTCCAGCATTGCGCTGGATAATCATTTCCATCGTGGTGTGTCTTCAGGGAATGTGATGCCCATACTTTTTACCATGTACCTACAGAAAGCCTTAGTTAATCTCCCCACTCTTTCTTTCTCACATATTTTAATGTCATTCACTTCCCTTCTATATTATCAAAATATCCCCAGGGACATCAAGTTGTGTAGAAATAAGAAACCTGAGCTATTGTGCACAGGCTTTTAGTGTTCCACCTAGCAGGTCATTATTTCTTCTGGGGCAAGGAAATAAATGCTCCCACTAAGAAATTGAAAGGGAGAATAAAAAACAAGTATATATTTCAAAAAAATACCCTGCCCACTTTCATCGAGATAAGAAAAATACTATTCTCATTTACCAATTGTATCCATTCTAGCTGGATGCTTGTCTTCATTTATTAATGTTTTAGATCCATAATAAAAATAACTAAATCATTTATGGCAGTGATATTTGTTCCTTGAAAATTCATAACAGCTCACCTAAGATGTTGCATCTTATTACCTATTAAAAGTAATGCATTGAGAAAATATGATTGTAATAATTATAACCTGAATAAGATCTAACATCAAATGAATGCCTATTGTACACCAAAATATATCAAGAGGTTTCTATGATTTCACTAACCCTTAACAAAGAAAAATTAGACATCATTCCTTTAATTCATATGAGGGCCAGTTAAATTAAAGTTACATATGGCATAAAAACTAAGCAAAGAAATTCACCCACATCTGTGGGTGATACTATTTTCCAATGCTTCACATATTTTTTTCAAAGTTTTTGTTATTGTTGTTTTATATGATAAAAGGTCTCTCTGTGTAGCCCAGACTGTCCTCAAACTCCTGATGATCCTCCTGCCCTACTCTCCTAATTTCTAGATTTATACATATGAGGTGCTCTGCCCAGCTAGAGTGGTTTTTGAAACAAAGAAACAATACTATGTAGATTTTGAGATAATATATATTTCTAGGAAAATATTTCCATTGTTAATGTCATAGTTTAGTACGGAGTTATGCTTATCTGCTCTTTTAAAAAAGTTCATCTTTACTTGCCTTCGATTACAACTTTTAATTTTCATTTGGGTTTCAACAAACATTTTTATTAAAATAGCGAGGTTGTTTCTGTTTTGTTAAAATACTATTGTTTTATTTATTATTTTTCATGATTTAACTAAAAAATTTCTCAACACTTATTAGTTGATTTTCTTCAAATATTTCCTTCCATTTTCAATATCAATAATGAAATATTAATTTGATTATTTTTATTAGACTGCTAAGTGCAGTAAGTTTTCCTCCAAGGATGTTTTAGAGAATATTCAAGGCATTTTCAATTGTTTTATTTTTAAGGTCATGTTAGTTTTGATTCTCTCTTTGGGCATTTATTTATTTGTTTATCAAATATTAATTAAAAGTTTTAATGACCCATTCACTGTTATTTGGGTCATAGCATTAGTAAAATATATGACAGATGTTCTTTGGTTCCAGGTTCTTAATTTTTATGGAAGATGAATGATGGCAATTAAACAATAAACAACTAAAGAAAGGAAATAAAGAGAGAAGTCAGAGAGTTTTGAAAACAAAAATGAAGAGACAAACAGGACTGGAACATTTAATTAAAATGGTTATGAATCATACTAAGTCCTGGGACTAAGACATGAAATCCAAGAATAACCCAGTCATAGAGCTAGGAAAAGGAAAACCTTCCATGTACAAGAACTATCTTCCAAAAGGTCCCCAACAAAAATAACATTTAGTAGGTTCAAGGAATTAAAAAAGACTATAGTAGATCTCATCAATATGATTTCCTATCAGTATGAAACCGTAGAAGTAACCCTTAGATGCAATTATGTAGAAATTTGGAAACATGATAAATAGTAGAGAGGGGGGTATATCTTAGCAGTGAAGGACTTGTCTTTCACATATAAAGTCCTGAGTTCCATGATCAGCACCATAGATGAGAGAGAGAGAGAGAGAGAGAGAGAGAGAGAGAGAGAGAGAAAGAAAGAATGAGAATTGTCATTGGAAATTATTTGGGGACCCAGTGAAGATTTTAACCAAGAAACTAATAGTCTGTGTTGAACATTAAAAAAAAAAAAGTGTTGAGATTTCTGTGAATACTTTAAGGACAAAATTGACTTTGAAAATAGAGTTTCAGTTTAGATATGATATAATGTATGACCTTGAGAGGTAAGAGTAAAAATAAAGAGTTAACGGTGGAGTCAGTATATATTTTAGAAGTAAAATAAATCATTTTGGGAGACAATAAACTACCTGAGAAAAGTAATACAATTAAATCTGAAAAATTTAGTAGATTTGACAATTTCTTAGTGGTTTTATTGTTATAATCTTTACATTATTAACTTTAATTTGCTTATATGTAGCAAGTCCATTTTTGACATACGTTTAAAAATATATATCCATATACACACTTAACATTTTCTGTTAAATTTTGTGTATATTAATATATCAATTTGAGTGATTATCATTCTGATTATTAGAGAATATTTATCAGCTAATGATCGAATCACATAAACTATCATGAATATTGTGTGTGAATAACTCCATATTGTTTTCTTTTTTTTAAATTTTATTTATTTATTTTTTGGTACTGGGGATTGAACTCGGGTCCTTGCACTTCCATGTTGTTTTCTTTAAAGATCAGATGATCGTCTCCAAATGTTTTTTTGAAATAATAAAAGTGGTAAGTAAAAGTAGTATAAAAATAGATCCTTTTGAGCTCACATGAATGGTCCCCACTGTTAATAGTTTAGATTACATGTCTCCTGATACTTTACGTATAGACTTAGTTGTATCAAAATTGACTTTGGACTTTGCTTTGGGAATGAATCATGCATAGACAGCAGTATACCAGGTAATGAATCAGAATTTAGCTGTTCTTCTAGACAGCCGTGTGGTCTTTCCCAAGTTTTGTCTTCTCTGCTCACCATTTTATATACCATATGACTGTGTGTGTGTGTGTGTGTGTGTGTGTGTGTGTGTGTGTGTGTAGATTTGTATTCACTCATACTTTTAGCAGTATATGTTTGGGATAATATGCAGATTTTTTTTATTGTTCTGATAGCTGACTTGATAGAAGAATGTGGATGATCATTGCTGCACCAGTCAAATTGGGAGGACATGAAAAGCACGGTTCATTATCACCGGTTTTTACAAGTATGTAATGTATCTTCTTGAAATGTCTTTCTTTGTCTTAAAACTGCTCTAGTATATTGGTTTGAGCTGCTCTTTTAATGAAAAAAATAAACATAGAGGTATTAAGTTTTCCTTATATTTGTTAGGGACTCATTTGTTTTGGACATGTCATTAGGGGGATATTTTTGTTTCTTTGTTTATCTTTGTGTATTAAGAATATAAAGTTGACTAATCCTAATTTATATTTTAATATAATTATAAACTATTCCATCACTGATTTACATGTGAATCATTTATTATTAATAAATAATCACTTATTTAGTCTTTCCTGTGCATCCTCCACAAAACGCAGGAGCTAGAACATTACACATTAATTTCATTTCCTTTTGTCTTCTGCTCAACCCCTCAACTTCCTCTCAAAAGAGGGCATATGGTATATAAAATAATGAACAGAGAGGATCTAAAAATTGGTCACTGTGTGGATATTAGTGTTTGATTTATTTCTTTTACCCTTAAGCCTAAAAATAGTTACTTATTTTTGTGTGTCCTTGAATTTTATGAAAAGTTGTCATTCACTCCTTGTAACATGTCCTGGACTTGCATACTCACTTAACTAGGAGTTCTCATCCAAGTAGCTCTGCAGACACTCTGACTGGCATATAAAGTAGAGCAACCTTATATTGCGCAGTAATCTCTATTCCATTAGAATTAGGAGAAAGTAAGAATATTTATCCTTCGTAGGACTTATCTTTCCCACATTGTCTAGTGCATTGACCTGACCATTATAAAGAATTCTAAATGATGCTGTAATAGAAGTTTTTAATTACTTCTTTTTAAAAAAATATTGTGACAAAGCTAAACAGCTGCTGTTCAGATTTGATTAGTAGACATTCTTTGCCATCCTACCATATTTTCCCCAATTTGAGTTTAGAGACTCAGCATGAAAAAGACAGCAAAGTATGTTAACATAAGGATTTAGATTTATGCACTCAGGTACATGCCAGTGAATTGTGAGCCACTGTATTTCCCTGAAAATAAGACCTAGCTGGAAAATACACTTCAGGTCTATATACTTGTACCTGGTCATTACAGTGGTGATGGCCAATATCACTCTTCTCTTGCTTACTGGCTAATCTGTAATGGCAGGTAGTTCCAGGATAGGCTTTTTGGGACAGCATTTTCATCTCTACTTAGGTCATATTTTCAAGGAAATATAGCATTAGCAAACTATCTTGATGACCTTCTACCTGAGCATAGAATGCCCACACACCTGAAGATGGTTTGTTCAATTCAGAAAATGTTAGACATGCAGTCCTCAACACCAGGGTTGATGGGGAAAATACAATTATAAACAGTTTCCTTCCAATAGGAAAAAAAAACAACAACTTCCCACAAAGGTAAAAAGGAGACAATGAATATTTTTAGTGAGTAAACATTAAACCACAGTGTGATACTACATTAAAGAATTTGCAGGCAGATCTCACCTTATTATGTATCCAAACAGATCAAACCAATTAGATGCATATTCTTGAGATAAATGGTAACTAGCCTTTCAGTAAAAGAACTTGACCACATCCTTCATCAGACTTGGTTCACTCTAAATCAGAATTTGAAGCTAGCAGAGGTTGGTTCTTGATATTTAAGGCAAGAAGCCATTTCCGTAATATAAAAGTGAAAAGAAAAGTAGAAGTGCTGGTGTAAAAGCTCCAGAAGATCTACCTAAGATAACTGATAACTGTAACTACACAATTACAGTTATTCAGTGTAGACAAAAGATTCTTGTAGTGGAAGAAGACGATATATAGGACTTTCATAACTGGAGAGCAGAAGACACTGTCTGGCTTCAAATGCTTCAAAGAACATGTTAATTTTCTAATTAAAGCTTAATGCAACCAATGAGTTTATGGTCAAGCAAGTGTTCATTTATCTTTCCAAAATCTGGGGAACCCCTCATGCTTATACTAAATCTACTTTTCATGTGCTCTATAAATAGAAGGACAAAGCAAAGGTTAGCAGCACATCTGTTTCATTGCAGTTTGCGGAATGTTACATGCCCACTGCTGACAACTATAGCTCAGAAAAATAGGATTTTCTTCAAAATATTCCTGCTCATTGACACTGCACCTAATTACTGATGAAGTCTTTTGGAAATGTACAGCAACATTGCTATCATTTTCATGATTCTTAACACACCATCCATTCTGTAATCCATGGATCAAAAAATAATTCCAACTTCTATTGTTTAAAGAGATACTTTTCCATTAGGTCTCTGTTGCATATATATATTGATTCCTCTGATAGGTTGGGGCAAGAAAATCAAAAGTTCTCTGCACCTAATTCATCATTCTTGATTCAATTAAGAACACTTTTGATTCATGGAGGGGTTCAAAATACCAACATCAGCAAGAGTTTGGAAACAGTTTCTTCCAATCTCACAGATGATTTCTATGAAGTCAAAATTTTAATAGAGAAAATGAGTGTAGACATGGTGGAAATAGAAAGGGAACTAGAAAAGGAAGTGGAGCCCATTGCTTCAATATTACATCTTATGGATGACCAAGGAAAGTAGTTTCTTTACTTTCAGTGAAGAAGCTGTGAACATGATGATAATGACAGCAAAGAGCTTACAATATTACATAAGCCCAGTTTACCTCAGCAGTGCTGAAGAGTTTGGGAGGATCTACTCCACTGAAAGAAATTGTTCTGTGATCAAAATGCTGTCAAATTTCATCACATGCTAGAGAGAAATCTTCCTGGAAGAAAGAATAACTCTATGTATAAAACTTCATTGTTGTCAACCTCAGTGTTTAGAAATCACCACCCTGACCATCCAAGAGTCATTAGCAACAGGGAAGCAAAACACCCCAGCAGAAAAATGGTGACCATTTGCTAACGGATCAGAGAATTATTAGCATATTTTGGAATAAAGTCTTTTAAATAAGGTACACATATGTTTTAGAAATAATGCTATTGAACATTTAATAGATTATAGCACAATGTAAGCATAACTTTTATAGGCATTGGATTGGAAAACCCTAAAGTCTTTGTGACTTGCTTAATTTCAATATTCACTTTATTGTGATGGTCTCACTCAAACACATAGTATCTCAAAAGTATGCCTGTAAGATCATTTTATCATCTTCCTGATTTACAGTGGAAGCTTTCTTGATTGTGACTGAAGAGATAAAAGAATTTGCCTCATTACTAATTAAATAATTCTTTTTCATTTGCTTGCTTGTCTTGTATTGTCAATACTTTTAACTATAGGTGATGTTATCTTTATAGATTTTCAAAGAACAAATTTATAACTTTGTTGATTGTCTTTTTGTTTGCTTTTTTCCATTTTATTGATTTTTCCTCTATTTTACTAAAAATTAACTTTAATTTACCCTGACATGATCTTCAATTATTCATCTCACACTTTTGTGTTAGAAATTTTGCTTACTAGGTTAAAAATATTTAAATCACTTCCTTTTAAAAGCCATTTATTTCTATAAATATTGTGTGAAATCTCACTTCTGTGATATGAAATAGTTTAATATACAATCATTTCATTATTCTTGATTTTAAATATTTTTAAATATAAATTATAATTTATTTTGATATGATTCATTACATTATTCAATAAATTATATTTAATTTGCTAATTTATTGGGTTTCACTATATGTTTAGAAAATAACTTCCATTTAAATTGCGTTTTGGCCAGGAAGCGTAGTCTAAAATAACCTGTGAAGTTTACTGAGACTGGTATTATAACAGATGCATGGATATTTCATATGTATCTGTAAGTAGGTCAACCTAAAATTACTAAAATCACAACTATTTCAGATCATGGTGACATGAGCAAACTTGTTATTTTATTCACTACTGTTCAACTGTTTCTCTAATCATTATCTGCTTTATCTACCAATTAATGGAAAGTATATTTAAATCATCCTCTATAATGCAGAACCCCTGAAGTTCTATTAACGTGTATTGCTTTTATATAGTCAAGCTATGTTTCAACTGTACTATATTTAAAATCCATATATTATATGGTTCAATTACATTTTTTAAAGTTTTAGAATCAGCTTCTTTACTCTCAAATATGTCTTGGTGTTAAATGATATATTTTAATATTAATATGGATGTATCAATTTTGTTACAAAGCTTACCTTGCTTGCTCATGAATGTGTTTGGGGGAGAGGGTGAGGGACAACAATGTAGTCTTCATTTTCCAGGAGATTCAGAGGGGTACACTTAAAAAACTATTTTGGACTTCAGCTCTAAATATTATGGAACAAAAGTCAAATTTCTATAGTTTACATAAAATATTTGGTCCTGTAAAGCATAACAATGTCTGTTCTTCTCTAAAAGTTTTATGCTACAGAAAAATAACCACAATGAGAAAATTAGCAATCAGAAAATTGACATATGATTATCCCATGTGCTAAAAGTGTCCATTATACATGATAACATTTTATATGGAGAGTGACAACTGTTATTGTAGTGCTTGACCTGGTGTCACTTTTAACTATCGGAGGTGAGGTCCTGTGAAGCAGACACTTGTAGTAGAAGCTCTTGCGAGAACCACAGTGTGAAGTCAGAGGTTTTAGCAGAAGCCATATGGCTGAGATTTGGCAATTCAATTTCTAAATTGGAAGCTGAGAAATTTGTGATTTTCAAAGCAAAGTACCACATATATATTTAGCTTATGCACAGCCACCCTGAACACAATTAGTACCTTTGAATAATATTCCGAAGACACAAACATAAGCTATATGTGTTATCTATTGTTATAAAATAGAAAGGAAATGATTTTTAGAACCTCTGATGTTGGAGCCTAGATATGTTTAAAAAAACCTATGGGAAGTTCACCTATTTAAACAACTATTTTTGTGTTATTAAAATGAAACTGTTTTGCTCAGTTATAGACAACCTCAATCTAAATATAAGTACTTTGTTGAATAAGAAATAAAGTCTTAAAAGTTCTACCCCAGTCTGATTAGGCAACTTACCCATCTCTCAAAAAATATAAAAATAAAAAATGTTTGGAAATGCAGTTCAGTCCAAAGGGCTCGGATTTAATCCTGAGTTTTATAAATCAATCTATATATCTATTATTTTCATTTTAAAAATTTAACTTCATGTTAACCTGCATTTTGCCTCAATAATTGTTAAAAACATAGCCTTTCTTCTGGTGATAAGTCCAGTATTAGCAAATCCAATTCTGTCAGTAAAAATAAGAACAGAGAAAGGAAGTAGCTACTAGGAAAAAAACCAATCTTCTTCCAAGGCCCTCTGAAAAGAGATGCTTAGAATCACTTATCTATCACCACTCCAATTCAGCTAAAGCCTTTGGGCTACAGGCGAAATTACTTCCAACTCCCCCGCCCCGACCAGAGTCCTGGTGCCCTTCCTGACTTGGTGAGAATGTCAAAAGTTCATTCTCCAGTGACTTCGTTAGACAACCTTTGTCCTCCTGACTCTGTGATCCAGGACCCAAGTCCGCTTCCTTGTTGTAACAGAACCCCCTACCTCCTGGCTCACTTCAAAATGACAGGAATTTATTTTCTAAAAACAAAACAGAAAAATGTCAGTTTTTGTTTTTGTGAAGATGGTAACTGATGACCCTGAAACTAGAAAAAAGAAGTTGACATTTCTTAAAATGCTGATTATTTCTTCTGCAGTAATTTCTGCTGAGAAAGAAGAGATCTGTATCTCTGATGAAAAGGCCTCAGAACAATGAAGGACACAGGTAAACTCTGGAGTTCTTCCTGCATGATGGGGTGCAGGCGTCATCAAATTACAGTGAGGTCTGATTCAGTTTCTGCCTTTATAATATTTTCTGAAACACGTCAAACAAATTAAAGTTCTAGATCATGTTGAGACCCATGTTACAGGTTCTGAGAATTGCTTCCTTTTACTTTTTTATTAAATCTAGATAACACACGGAGTTCCTGTGTGGGTCTTTGGGACATTTTTCAGAGTAAGTTGCACGTCATTTTATGAACTTAGTTTGGTTTAGAATTTCGGGGAAGATGGCCGTGTTTGTGTTTGTGTGGAGGAGACGGCCATGGTCCTCTTTGTCATCCAATGTAGAGTTGGTGAACAGAGGCAAAATTCTCCTGAAGACTTTTGTTTCTGAACTGAGTTGTTTGCAAACAAAAGCTCTCATGAACCAACGTATTACTCTACATGTATATAATGGTAAATTCATGTGGTATTATGCTTTGAAAATTACAAAATTTCAGGGTCTAATTTTGAAGTTGAATTGTCAAATCTCAGCCATATGACTACAGGGAAATCCTCTGATCACACAACTGTGGTTCTTGTTAGATCTTCTATTACAAGTGTCTGCTTCACAGGAGCTCACCTCTGACAGTTAAAGTGACACCAGGTCAAGCACTGCAATAACAGCTTGTCACTTCCCATATGAAATGTTTTTAGAGATAATGCACTGGACACTTTGAATAGAGTGGGAAATCGTATTTAAATTTCTTTGTTGCTAATTTTCTCATTTTTTCTGTTGTATAAAGCACTTAGAAGAGAATAAATATCATTATTTTTAAATGAGCACAAATTATACTTAGACTAAAAATTTTGTGGGTACAATTTACCTAATATTTAAACAAATTTACGATTACATATTAGAGTTCATAAACTCCATAGTCTCAAGTACTGTTCCTTTTACTTTCTAACCCTGCAGTTTTGTGTATAATTATGTTTTGCTAAAATTACAGAATAGGAAAAGGAGATAATAAATATAATTATAGACATAAGTTAGTTTGCTGTAACTTTATGTAAATGTTTATGAGTTAAATGATTCCTTTTAGGTGTAGTTTAATTACAATGAGATTCCTCAAAGCTCGAGGATGGAAACAAACCCTATATCAGCAACTCCACAGATATGTGAGGAAACACACACACACACACACACACACACACCATGAAGAAATTTCCACTGCGTCTATGCGTTTATATTGAAATATAATCACTTTAATCCCTTTTGTATTGAAATATACTGGGAAAGGAAAAAATTCATCATTTACAATCAAGAATAATAACTTTCATTTGGTTAAAAATAGTACTGCTATTTTTCTTTGTTAACAAATATTTTTATTACAAATATTGCTTTTTGTCAGAAGAAAATGAAAGAACAGATATCCCTTATGGGTTTTTTAAAATAATAATATAAAATCATGAGAATCAGAGGGAAATAAAATAATTAAATGTATAAATTTTCAAAAGTTCATTTTTTAAAACAAAAATGAGAAAAGAATCACTATTGTACTATTTGGGAATATTTTTTGATGCCTCTCTTGTTGGAAGTTACCTTGATTGTCAGGTCTGTTTTGGCTTCCAACCTGTAATGATACACAATTTGGTTGAAGGATATGAAGTAATTATGTCTTTTAGAGATAGTTGGAAATTTATTTAATATTTCTTTCAAATAATTGTGAAAATTCTCATTGAATAATATACCAAATCTCAACAAGTTGTGTGTTCAATGTTTAATGAAATATTTGATTAGAAACCATATAAGTAACTTTTTTGTACTCTGCATATTTATAAGAAAATGTATGTTTTAAAAAGCAAATGATATTTTAGTGTTATTGTAAAAATAATTTGGCCCTATAAAGCCCCAGAGACTACCTATCTCAAGGGTTACAGATTTTGGAAATCAAAATGTTTAGTATTGCTATTTTCACCAGTCAATTTAAACTCAAATGCAATGTATGTAATGAGTATTTATCTTTTTCTAAGAATTTAAAATCTTTTGATTCTATGCTTTAAGGAATCACTCAGTATTTTCAGAAATTGCAAAATTATTTTTAAAATAGATAAAGTTTAGGAAAATACTGCCATATCTAGGTTACATTCTTTAGACTAATTCTAGTACATATGTGTGAGATGGAGTTTTTAAACTTAAAATGGTCAAAATTATTCTTTGATTTAGAGAAAGTGTCATAGGTTGAAAACTAGAATTATCTTTTTAAAGGAAGTGACAATATTCCTGACAGTGTTTTGAAACAATGTAAATAAGGGTGCTTCTCTGAAAATAGAAATATTTTATAAAATAAGTTAGTGTCAATTTTAGATCATTTAATTGCTTTACGTAAAAATGAATATGTGTATCACATATGCATACAAAAGTTTATATAAATGAATATAGGTACAGATTCAGATAAAAATATAAATAAATATGAATAAAGACATAGACTAACATATATATTTTGAAGTATTTCTCAGAATCTTAAAACTTTTACAACTAATTATTAATGAAACTGAAGAATGAATGTATCTCAGTGTAGCTTTTCTTAAATTAAATGTAACATCTATAATCTCCTTGTATAAATCTTGTATCTAAAAATTGTTTTCAAAAGATAAGATTAAAAATTCATTTAAAATTAGAATAATGAAATAGCATTAATGAAATATAATGAAATGTTTTGCATTGAACCTTCTACCATCCACCCATTTAGTTTTATTAAAAGCCCCAATTTCAGTTCTGGTATACATTAAATTTTATTTTAAACAATATCTTTCTTCTGAAGTTAGTCTCTCATTAACTTAATACTTTCATACAAATAGTAATGACAATTAATGTATGTGAATTACATTTGCTCAGATATTCATATTAACTAATATATTCATATTTTTTTGTCATTACTACCCAATATACAATGATAGCTGATGGGTATCCATGTGAAATATAAACATGTCCAGCCTTACCTTTGTAGAGCAGAGTTTGTGACAGGCTTAGATTATCTATTGTGGTGGTCTTACTAATCTTGCTTTTGGCCTTATCCTAATGCTACCTTTTCCCCACTGTAAACAGTTTCTTCCTCAGCTTTAACAAATAAGTAGAAGCTTAAATTTGCTTTAACATTTTAGTGCTTACCTAGTTGTCATAATTATTAATATAATAGTATGGAAAGTGCATGTAAACATGTTTATAGTGTGATTCAAGCAATAAGGCATAATAAAATTGAAAAAATTATGTCAGAAACATTTTTTCCATAGTTACGTGTTGCAAAGCCTATGTCATTGTCAATGTGACTGTATTTTCCTTAGCGAAACAAGTGTCTTCTGAACTCAGCATGAAAGGATTCCAGATAATTTTAAATCAATTTAACCTTGGACTTCAAAACTAAGCTCCCTGGAAGACTGCCTGCTTGTGTCAAAGGTGGAAGTGGTTCAATAAAACTCTTCATGGACAAAGTGACAATTCGACTGAGGCCTGGCTAACCAGCCTTCAAACAGTCACAATTTCCCACTTTTATGATGTTGGCTGAGCCTCTCCCAGTCTGATCTCTACGATAAAAAGCATCTAGTACAATTACCTGGGCACTCAGCCTAGTGTTTTGTTTTTATTCCTGTTGATGGCTGTAAGGATTAGTAGGGGTTCCATTTTAGCCCTGAAAATAATGAAACAGTGCCTAAAAGTTCCTCCAGGAAGGAAAATATGCTTGCATTCATAGATTTCCTATAATGCACTAGAGTAATTCTGCTGTTAATTAGGTGATAAAAAATCAATGAAAAAAGAGCTAGTCACATGATTTTTATTATATTCAGTTAAGAGAAATAGTTAGATTTGCTTATTTTTATTTTGTTGATTTTATTCTCGAAGTTTTCCACCAGGTGAGGGTAAAACACGAAGCAGAAGTGGGCATCTTGGAAGATGAATCAAGCTGACACTCTGGTCTCAGATTTCCATGCTCCAGAACTGTGAGAAATAAACTTCTGTTATTTATAAGACTTCCAAAAAATAAAAAAGACTTCCAGTCTATGGTCATTTATTACATTTGCTTTATGATTGAGATGATAATTGATTTTACTGGTTAGCACTAACAAAATAATAATTCTAAACTAGGGATATACAAAAACAAATATTTATTTCTCAGCTATCTATTCCAAGCTCCATTTAGTTTATGCAGTTGTGTTTCACTGTATAGCTCTACTATGTGCCTGGCCAAACCTCTTCTTCATATGAAGACACAATGAATACTCTGCACCTTCTTATTCTCTATCTATAATTGTTTCTCTGGCAGCAACAGGCTAGTCCATGAATGTTCTTAAGGTAGTGATGGAGGAGTAGGAGGGCAGATAATAGTGTACAGGGCATCTTGAACTCCAGAATTGGAAGAGAAATATTGGTACTTGTTTTATTCTCCTAAACGTAGTAAGCAGCCAAGCCCAAATTCCACAAATCAGAAAATATGCTCAAACATCCTAGCAGGAAGAAACACCAACTAATGGCACAGGGTTCCCTGAAGGGAAGGGCAAAGTATAGAAATCATCACATGAACTTACCAGAGTCTTTCTTCTTGGATGCCCTGATTTGCATCCCTCTATGAGCAAAATATTATCACTATAATACCAGGAAGCAAGAGAGATTAATCCAATCATGATCGGGTTTGAAATTCAGAATTTATAGATTTATATGTTTCATGTATTGTTCCTCTTCAACTGGTGGCCTACAAATTAAAATGTAATGTTATTTTTCCTATAAATACAACAAATATGAATATGGCATTAAAGTAGGAATGGATAAGCCTAAATTAAGCCAATATTTATATAAAAAGAAGGAATGTGATGGACACAACAGAAACAACAGGTAATTATTAAAGAAAAGAGAAGACCATGAAGTGCAGTATTTAAAACTATTAAAGAAAAATAACAAGAATGATTGTTGATATAAATCTTTTTTTTGTATTAAATTCTTTTATTGGTACATTGTAGGCATACAACACAATTACATTTCTCATTGGGAATTGTACCTTTATATAATGCATCTTGGTTCTTATTTTTTCCCCATTCCTAGCCCTCCCTTCAGGCCCTCTACCCTTCCCTATTTACAAAGACTTTATTTCCATTTTTTCCATTTCTCATCATTTTTTCCTTTCCCTTCTTTCCTTTCCCCTGCCCCTGTTGATATAAATCTTATACAAATATAATATACATTAATACTTACAAATCAATAAATAGCTAGCCTGACCTTTCATGACAAAAGATAGGTACTGATTATTAATATTTTCAATGTACAGGCTGACATTATTCCAGAGTTGATATAAATGGGACATTATGAGATATTTTCTCAATGAGCTAAATAAATAAGAATTCATGGATAAATTCTATAAAAGATAAGAATTACTGAATCTAAAGATAAAAATAAAGTATCCAGGCCAGGGATTTAGCTCAGTGTTTTTGCCACCTGCTGTACAAGTGCAAGGACCCGAGTTTGATCCCTGGTACCAAAAGAAAGAAAAGAAAAGAAAAGAAAAGAAAAGAAAGAGAGAAAGAGAGAGAGAGAGAAAAGCGAGAAAGAGAGAAAAGCAAGAGAGAGAAAGAAAGTATCCAAATGATCTTAAATTCATTTTTTAAAAAACCCCAAACTTAAAATTTTATTTACATTTTTCCTGGAAAGAAAACATCTGGTCCAAATAACTTCACTAATGAATTGTACCTAGTGCACTACTTATGTACAAAGTATTTCACAATATTGAAGTTACAAACACATTCTATGAAGTCAACATTATTTGGATTGAAAACACAAAAGAATAGTAAAAGTGAACTACAGCACAATATTCACCTTGAACATTAAAATTTCTAACAAAATGATAGACCCATCCTACAATATACAAAGAAAATAATGTACATGCGCATTATGGTCTGGATGAGAATGTTCCCTAAATATCTCATGCATTCAAGGGTGTGGCTCTTGGAGGTGACTGGCTTATTGGACTCATATAGCAGACTAACTGTTAGGAGGTGGACTTTGGTGGGAAGAGGCAGGTCATTGGGGACGTAGCTTGGAATGCTTTGTCTTCCCTGCCTTCTCCTTGCCTCTTGCCTGCTTTCTGCCCACCATAGTGTAAGCAGCTTCCTCTCTCCAGACCTTCACACTATGACATTTCTGCCAGCCATGGAAGGACTGCAGCCTGTGAAACTGTGAGCCAAAATGAACTTCTCCTTTTAGTTGTAGGTGTTGGCTATGGTACCTCAGCAATGAGGCAGCTAAGGGAAGGAAGACAGAGAGCTTCCTCCCCAAAATAAAGGATTGATTTTGCATTAAAAATAAACCAATGTATTTCAATTTCCTAATAGTCATCTCAACATTATAGAGGGCACATCTGTGAGGACTCTGTAGCTAACATCATACCAAATTTTGGAAGACTGAACTATTTAATATCACCAATTCTATTCAACATCACAGTAGAGATTCTAGCCAATACTACAAGCCCCCCCCCCACTAATAACAATAATGCTATTTATGGCAGTATTTAAAATAAAATAATTGCGAACATAGAGATAAAAGGAAAAAATAACATTATTCATAAACAAAATCATTTTCTATGTAAAAAATTCCTAAAAACTTACTTCCAAAAACCTAGTAAAACTAAGATGTGTTTAGCAAAGTTGAACGCACATCCCTGTGAGGTGATGCACAGATAAATGATACAACCTTTTTTATAAGTGTGTCTGTACCGATGCTTCTAGAAGAGATCAGCATTTGAATCAGTAGAGTAAGAAGGTCCACCTCACTTGTATATGGTGAGTATCATACAACTCTTTGAATATTCTGATATGCACTTGCTGAGGTGGAACATCTTATGCCACCCTTGGACATTATAATTCCTGATTTGGGTTTTGAAGTCTGGCACTCACACCAGTATTTCCTCCATACATCCTGACTTAGGCAGAATTACACCACTGGTTACCACCTTTGCCAGTTCTGCAGCTTGCAGATGGTAAAATTGTTCAGATTTCATAATTATGTGAGGAAATTCCTATAATACCAATCTATCTCTACCTGTGTCTCTTTCTCTCTCTCTCCCTTTTTCTTTGTATCTTGGGTAAACACCACTACACTGATTAATGAATGCAATGGCATTATTTTAAAATCATGTACTCATGCTAACACTTCCACACAAATGAAAAACTCAAATTTATGGTAACAAAAAAGTCCAATTATAAATTGTTATATGGTCATATCCATGCTATTCATAGTATAACTCCTGTACACTTCACAGAACATCATTTTAAGGTATTCAATAAAACCAGCATAATCTCAATATTGATACACTAAAACAATTATTTTTGTCTGTATAACCATTTTCCCAGCAATCTTTTGGGACAATTAACACAAACCTCATTACATTCAACCTAAGGTTATTGAATTTCTCAGGTTTAAGGCCTTGAGTACAATGGAAACTGATTTTGCTACTGAAACTATGCAAGTAACCTGTGTATTATGTTGACCTCATCCAAAGTCCTTTAATATTTTTGAGCATCATCAATAAAATAGTGAATTTTCCCCATCATGATGCCATCAAAACTGTTAATTGATTTCAAGATAAATTAATTTCTTTTCTAAATTCCATGTTGATAATCATTTATTTTTCCCTCTTGATATAGGCATAGTATTCATTGCCCATTTTCCTTTTTTCCTTGTTGGGTTAACAGGAAAGAACATCCACCCTCCTCCGTTAATGGCCACAGAATTCCAAGGGAAGTCTTCCTTTAACTCAATTTCATTTCGTAGTTTTCTTTCCTAAAGGGATAACTAATTCAGCTGAAGGAATGTCATATTTATTAGTTTGAAATGATTATTTTAGTATTATTTCATTTTCTCTTAATTTCTTTCTGAGAGATATGATTGTACATATTTTTATATACTGGGATAGATAATGTCCTTACCGTGGATGGAAACATTATGTTAGAAAAGTATATTGCTGGTTATTACTTGGTTTTCTGTGCTACACCCTTTCTTAACCTTTGTTACCTAAGAGAAATGACTCACCACTAACTTCTTACTTTGAAATTTAAAATGTGAATATTTCAAAGATTTTTAAAATCATAATAAAGGACATTACAATTTTGAGAGCTGCTTAGTTGTTATAGGTGTTGACACCTCTAATTGGAATTCACAATGAATTGTCTAGCAAGTGCACATTCCAAAATACAAGATATTATACCAGTTAAATAGTAATTGTCTGGGGTTCTTTTTGGATAATATATGAATTAGTAAAATTAGCATTTAGGGAATTTTGGTATATAGTGATCATTCAAAAGCAATGATTCATCTGAACTGTTTAGGCTGATGATTATTAGAGGATTCCACTGTGCCTTTCATATTTTTCACAAGGAAAAAAACCAGACTTCATAATTCAGATCAGGTACAGATGTTCATTACCTTTTCTGAGAAGACAGTTACAAAAGCACTTATCTCAAATAATGAAAACATGAAAAAGATTCAAAGAATTACACAGATTGGTTAAAAATGCAAGCATATTTTTGTCACATTCTACAATGTGCTTAGTTCAATTTTGTCATGTAATTCTTCAGAGTAAGTATTGCTAAATGAGAATAGAAAAACCATACTTTATCCATAGAAGCCTCTTAGTCAGAAAACCATTACTTCTATGAAGATCATAATTATAAAGGACCTTGATTTCCTCCTGTGAATAAAAAAGTAAGAAGTAGAGCATAAAATTATCTATACAGCATTAAAGGAATTCAAATTTCAGTTATCTTCTGTATTTGGCAATGTCTTTATAGGTAATCATCTGAATATATATATATATATATATCTGAGAAGTCTTTAAATAGCAATTATCATTAGTCTAGCAAAAGAAAATATCATTCTGTCTTGATTTTGTAAATTGAGATAGTTCAGTTTGAATTACATAACTCATAAAATTGTGAGCCAAATTTTTATGGAGATATATATATATATATATATATATACACATACCTCTGCACTGTAAGAATTTAAATACATATTTTTATATATATACAT